TACTATACTAATCGCACCAACCCAAGTCCATTCGAGCGGGTATGGTGTGTGGTACACGACTCCTCAAAATGCGTTCAAAACTTTCAAGAAACGTCGCAGCAACAGACCGGGGTTCGACTACCCGTACCCGAATAGCCCTGGGAATACCTTTTTTTGTTGCTCACTTATTCCTTTTTCTCCCTCGTACATATCCCGGTCCACACCTCAGCTTAATCGGCACGGGTGGACGGCGCAGCGCATGCCGGTATACTTCACTTGCTGGTCCGGGCACTTCACGTTGTTTGTTAAATCATTCGCACCTCCCCCGGAGAGCTCTTGGTTTACTCATGTACCTACATGTACTTACCTAGGCTCAAAGGATGGTAAATGAATCGGGTATGGTGCACGGTGCACCGCTCCTCCCAGTGCAAGAGAGTGAGGGATTGTCGCAGGAGCAGAGCGGGGTTCGACTCCCCGTGCCCGAATAGGATCTCAATTCTCGAGTTGCCCTTTTTGTGCTGGGGGCGCTATTGGTGCTTTTATTTATTCGCAATGCCCTGCGCTCCTTCATTCATTCACATAAGCTCGAGCATGGTGCACACCTCAGCTGCATTGGCGCGGGTTTACGGCGCAGCGCATGCCTGTATACTTCACTTGCTGGTCCGGGCACTTCATGTTGAACTTGTGCGAAATTTACAATTATTCGTACCTCCCCCGGGGAGCTCTTGGTTTACTCATGTATACACCTGCATGTACTTAGGTTCAAAGGATGGCAAATGAATTAGTCTCTCATAGACAGACGCTTTAACAAATGAAGCTCGTACCTCTACAAATGAATCGGGTATGGTGCACGGTGCACCGCTCTTCACAATCAAATGTTGCAAAGGTCGCAGGAGTAGCCCGGGGTTCGACTCGTACCCGAATGACGAAGCTTCCTTGAGAAATTCTTTTCTTTTCAAATTCTTTGTGAATTTGCTTGAATTTCGGGTACAGTCGAAGACACTGGATACCCATTGTCACAGCAAGAGGAATAACGCGGGTATGGTGTATGGTGCACGGCTCCAGGTGTACCCAAATGGGAACGTGGGTGGGGCAAGCCGGTCCCCGTACCCGAATAGTTTTGGGAGGACCTTGTCTTTTTGTTGCCAACTCATTCTTTCTTTCATCCTCCGCACACATATCCCGGTCAGACAAATGAGAATCAAGCCGAAATTTAAATTTACTCGCACCCACTCACCCAGCGTCAAAGGATAGTATGAAAACCGGGTATGGTGCACGGTCACCATCTCTTGAAATTTTGATGGAGCAGACCGAGGTTTGACCGGAATGGGCCATGGCCAGTCCTCTTTTTTTCTTTTCTTTACCCACTGCTCATTCTATCCGACCGGCCGTCTCCCTCATCCTGGACCCGAACACCTTGACTGCATCGGTCGGCGCAACATACCTCGGCCAGGGTGTACTGCACCCGGAAGCCTACTACGCTACATCAAACCCATCCAATTACTTGAATTATACTCACACACCCACACAAGTTCATTGTATGGCAAATACATCGGGTATGATGCACGGAGCACCATACACAGCTCTGCTCCTTTCAGGCAAAGTTCATAGCGGGTAATGAGCAACCCGGGGTTCGACTCCCCGTACCCGAATGGTCCACCCGACCTCCTTTTTCTTTTTTCTTCTTCTGCCCAATCATTTTGTTCTCTCTCACACCATATATCACGGTCCACACCTCAGCTTCACCAGCGCGAGTGTACAGCGCAGCGCAATGCGGCATATTGCCTGGACAACATGGATTCTCGTCCACGTCTAAGCCCCGTTGCTTGAAAGTCAATGGCGCACCGCTCCTCACAATACGCATAGTGATTTCCACCAATACGGTAGGAGCAGCCCGAGGTTCGACTTCCCGTGCCTGAACTGCGTCATGAGTTTCTATTAGTTCATTTTGCCAGACCACGCCTGCGACTCACCTCTCTCTCTTATGTGCCGGTAAATAGCGCTCTTCAGTACGCGCCGGTGAACGCTGAAAACCTCCCGTTATGTGGTGGGCCATTTATTAATTTCATCTGAGGTGCGGGTCTTCATTCTAAGTACGGTCTTCATTTTAAGTACGTAATTGAACTTGGGCGCTGCGCTGCTGATTTTACTCATGCACCTGCGAGTATCCAGGTTCATTTAGGTGTAAAAAAAGTCGGGTATGGTGCGCGGCGCACGGCTCCTTACAATCCGAAAATGCAGACCAAAATGTCGCAGGAGCGGCCCGGGGTTCGACTCCCCGTGCCCGAATGCCAGCTCTTTGAATGAACTTTTTTTGTCCAGTTAATATTATTCACTGAATTTTGCTAATCGCACCCATCCAGGAGGGTATGGTGTACAGCGCACCGCTCCTTGCAATGCTTTGACTGCTGAAGGAGCAGCCCGGGGTTTGACTCCCCCATATCCGAATGATCACCTCTTCACCCTCTTTTTTCTTTTGGCCCAGTCATTCCTTTTTCTCGCTCACGCTGTATATCTCGGTGCAGACAAATTCGGCGAATCAGTTATTGTAAACGCTCACTCATGAGGCAAGCACGGCACGACAGTACAAGATTCAAACCCACCTGTTATTTAAATTCAGAATTTTAAAAATCATTCGCACCTCTCCAGGTGCATGGAAGTATGTTGAACTCGAGTATGGTGCACGGTGCACCGCTCCTCACAATCAAATATTGCAAAGGTCCCAGGAGTAGCCCGGGGTTCGACTCCCCGTACCTGAAATAACCATTTCAAAAGTGGATCTTTTTTCCTTTGTCCAGTCTCGCTTGCACTGATGAAATTAATGTCGCAATTTATCGTCAGGCTCAGGCCTATCCTGTGTGGCTGTATGTGTGGGTTCAAATAAACCCGAGATAAACCGGCCGGGGTGTGTGGCCGGGTGCTTCAAATTTAAGCTTATTCGCACTCACCCAAGAGAAATAACGCGGGTATGGTGCACGGCGCACCGCTCCTCCTCGTGAGGTGTGTGGAGCCTTCAAGGAACGTCGCAGGAGCAGCCTGGGGTTCGACTCCCCGTACCCGAAAGCCACCGCTTTCAATACCTATTTTTTTGTCCAGTCCACATTTATTCGCCCGAAGTTACTACTCGCACCCACCCAAGTCCATCGTGTGGCAAGAAAATCGGGTATGGTGTACGGCGCACAGATCCTCCCCATATCTGTGATTCCCTCCATGGATGGAGCAGACCGGGGTTCTTTTTCTGCTTTTCACTTGGTGGAGTTTCGTGCACAGTGGGAGCACACCTACCCCAGTCCATTGTATAGCAAATACATCGGGTATGGTGTACGGCGCACCGCTCCTCAAAGTTCGCTGTACGCCTGCGTCGAAGGAGCAGATCGGGGTTCGACTCCCCGTATCCGAATTGGGCTCTGGCCCCCGGGAAGGATTTTTTTCTTCCTCTCTCATTGCCTACTGCTCATTCTTTCGGCCGTACCCAAACACCTTGGCTGCATCGGGCGGCGCAACGCACCTCGGCCAGGGCGTACGTACGGCGCAGCGCACTGGCTGGCATACAGCAACCGGAAGCCTAGATAATAGGACGCTACCATTCCAAGTACCATTCAATTGCTTGAATTTTACCCACACCCACCCAAGTTACTTGTATGGCAATTACATCGGGTATGGTGCACGGAGCACAGCTCTGCTCCTTATTGGGCAAAATTCATAACGGGTAATGAGCAGCCCGGGGTTCGACTCCCCGTGCCCGAATGGAATATCAAAGTCATCCGGCAAGTTCCTTTTTTTTGGGTCCTCGTCAATGATTCTGCACTGTTCAAATGCCAGTGGCTCCCGTTGCTTGAATTATATTCGCACCCAGCCAGGTTCATGGGATACCAAATCAATCGGGTATGGTGCACGGTGCACCGCTCCTCACAATCAGCCCTCGGAAATCATCGCAGGAGCAGACCGGGGTTCAACTCCCCGTACCCGAATATCCCCGTGGCCTCCTTTTTCTTTTTTCTTTTTTCTTCTTCTGCCCAATCATTTTGTTCTTCTCCCTCGCACCATATCTCCCGGTCCACACCTCAGCTTCACCAGTGAGAGTGTACGGCGCAGCGCACCGCGGCATATTGATTGGACCATATGGATTCCCGTCCACGGGCTTGAAATTTTAAAAACCAAAGTTCATAAGATGGCAAATACATCGGGTATAGTGCACGGCACGGCTCCTCATAGTTCATTATCGGAGTGTAGGCACATGTGGCAGGCGCAGAGCGGGGTTCGACTCCCCGTGCCCGAATAGCCGTCGTTGCGTTTGCTTTTTTGTCCAAGTTATATTATTCACCGAAATTCCTATTCGCACCTACTCCAGCCCGGGGACCAGTGGATACCTCGGGTATGGTGCACGGCGCACCGCTCCTCACAATGCGGGTGAAAATAGAGTATCGCAGGAGCAAGCTGGGGTTCGACTCCCCGTACCCGAATACTTGTGTCTCAACTTCTTTTTTCTCGCTCACGCTGTATATTTCGGTGTAGACAAATTTGACGAATCAGGCATTGTAAACGCTCATGGGGCACGGCACGGCACGACTGGACAAGATTCAAACCCAACTATTATTTATACGTAAATTCAGAATTCAAAAATCATTCGCACCTCCCCAGGTGCATTGAAGTATAATGAACTCGGGTATGGTGCACGGTGCACCGCTCCTCACAGTTCATTGAATTCCTCCAGACAATAATGTCGAAGGAGCAGCCCGGGGTTCGACTCCCCGTACCCGAATGGCGCGGACATGAATCCCCCCCCTTTTTTTTTTGGCCCACTGCTCATTCAAGTTCCGGCGGCCGTCTCACCTCCTCCTGGACCCGAAGACCTTGGCTACATTGGCCGGCGTAACGCATTTCGGCCAGGGCGTACGGTACGGCGCAGCGCACTGGTTGGCATGCAGCACCCGGAGGCCTAGACAATAATAGGACGCTACATCAGACCCATCCATTTCAATTGCTTGAGTTTTACCCAAGTTCATCGTATGGCAAATACATCGGGTATGGTGCACGGCGCACGGCTCCTTACAATTCGCAATAGTGACCGAGTTGTCGCAGGAGCAGCCCGGGGTTCGACTCCCCGTGCCCGAATACATATTCCTCAGATAATACACTTTTTATCCAGGCGATGAGAATAGAATAGATAAATAGAGGTCGTCGCTGGGACGTGTACGCGGTACACATCTCTCCGTACATGCATGCACATATGTACATATGCGTGTCTACCAAAGTCAGTCCGTCGTAACGTCGCGCCCATACAGTAACAGTCATAAGTAACCCAAGGTCCGTGGTGCGTGGCATGACGTGATACGCATCAATCCAATCCACCCTACAGCACCCCCCCAACGAGCAAGCCCACCAGGGCCAGGACGCCGCCCATGCCTGCGCCGGCGCCCAGACGCTGCGCTGCGCCCGAGGGCGGCGGGGGCGAGCCGCTGGCGGTGATGCTGGGCTTGTTGGTGGTCTGATTGGGCGGGGGCGTGGAGAGGGGGGGCGGCGAGGATACGGGCGGGGGCGGAGGTGCCGAGGATACGGGCGGAGGCGGAGGCTGGGAGGAGACGGGCGGGGGCGGGGGCGCGGAAGAGACCGGTGGGGGCGGGGCCGCGGCGGAGGACTGGCCGGGGATTGGGAGCTCGCTGGGGTGGGAGGTTAACTTCTTGTGAGAATCTAGGATGTAGAAGCACGCACGTAACGCTCGGGTCTTGGGCAATACCCGGGGGGCACTGAGAGCTGCCGCTGGAGAAGGAGCCGTCGGCGGGGAAGTAGGTGCATGCGCCGGCGCCCTGGTAGATGCACATGATCTTGTCGCTGTCCTCGCCCGTCGACGGCCGCGCGCCGGTGTTGGGGGTGCCGTCGTCGTCGGTGGGCGTGCATTGGATCTGCAGCTGGGCGGTGGCCAGAGCGAGGAGCGAGAAGAGGACAAGGGTGGAAGAGGTGGGGCGCATTGTCGTAAGTGGTAGAATGAAAAGAGTCGCTGGGACTACAAGGTGTTATGAAGAAGAGAGAACAAAAGGCAGACGAAGCGAAACGCAATGGAGGGAAGAGAAGAGAGACAGTGGGCGGTGCTGAGACAACGTCGCTTGATTGACTGATTGGCGGATTGATCGATTGATGGCGCGCCGAGGTGCCAGTGCGAGTGCCATTCGTACATAGCGGCCTCGACCCCATTTTATGCAGGTGGACGACCACCATCCGAGCCCCACGACTCCCGTCCCCCCGCTATAGGGTACATACCAACACCCACCCATCCAGATATCCATCCCTTGATCCTGATCGCGCTTCTATTCCTGTCGCGCTTCTATTAATATTCTTGTTCTATTCTCGTCTGGCGGCATTTAGATTCGGCATGAATCTAAAAAGGAGCGAGCCGCTAGCGAATGAAAATGAGACAATGTTAATAGACACACGCCAACCTACAACGCCAGTCCGCGCACCACTGGATCCGTACGGAACATGGCTCGTCACGCTGAGAGAGAGGCGAGGACTCGGAGGCACAGCGGAGCAAAATGAAATAAAATAAAAGCGCATTAATATATATCTCTAATTCGGGCACGGGGAGTCGAACCCCGGCTTGCTCCACGACATGGGGTCCGATTACGCCACTGACAGGAGCTGTGCGCCGTGCACCATACCCGATGTACTCAGTGTCTTTGGGACCTGGGTAAGTGCATGAGCATGAGTAATTGTCCGCGGGTATCGCCGCGGGAAACTACATAGCGCGTCAATACGCGGGCCGGTTAACACAAAACAAAAATAAAAAAGAATTACAACGTGAGGTACCCGCAGACAACGATCGCGAAATTCAGGTTAGAGAGATGAAAAAAGTAGCGCGAAGCAGTTTCGGAACAGGAGAGAAAGAAAAAAAGATCACGTTTCAGCAATTTCGGGTACGGGGAGTCGAACCCCGGCTTGCTCCATCCAATTACCAACAGTGGCGACACTTCACGAGGAGGAGCGGGGCGCCATACACCATACCCGATGCAATTACCTTCATTTCAACCTGGGTAGGTGCATTCTTATTACTATACTCCTATACCCGATGTATTGCTGCGAGATTTCCTAGTCCGCTGTCGATGCAATGTGAGGAGCGGTGCACTGTACACTATACCCGGGATATTCCTATTCGGTTGAACCTAGCTGGGTACGTGAGTGATTTTCTGCTCGTATCGCGGGTGAGAACTTCAATCCATGCCAAAGGGCCGGACAAAATAAGAATAATTCCAACGTGACGTGCCCGTACCACAGGTGGAGAGAACAAAATTCCGAAGGATGCTAGAAATGAGGAGGTGACGCGGAGCCAAGCAAGGAGGGGACACTCCATCAAGAAAGTGATCCCGCAAAGATAGAAGGAGCGGTGCACCGTACACCATACCCGATATACATATTCCCCTATTTCGTTTGAACTTGGATATGTCACGGATGAATTAAATATCGAGGGCGAGGTAATTATAATGTAATCAGAGCGAACGTAAGTCAGCCTCGGAGTGAGGACATGGCACAGAGGCAAGCCAAAAAAAAAAAGACAAAAGTTCCTAGTCGCTCATTCGGGCACGGGGAGTCGAACCCCGGCTTTCTCCATCCACGTGGGAGAGGAGGCTATTTACATGAAGGAGAGGTGCACCGTACACCATACCCGATGTATTCTTGTTCATTTGAGCCTAGTTAGGTCCGTGAGTAATTTTAATACCTACTAGTATCTAGGACTCAATCTGGTGCCGGATGATAAAATGAAATACAAAGAAGTCCGACGTGACACCCCATGCGTGGAGGGAACGAAGTTCCGGGCCAGGAGCAAAAAAAAAGAGCCACTGATGGGAAATTCGGGCACGGGGAGTCGAACCCCGGCTTGCTCAATCAAACTATTGAGCTCGCAGAGAGAGGAGAGCGGTGTACTGTACACTATACCCGATGTATTCATTATGCATTGAGCCTGAGTTCAAGACTTACTAGTATCAAGGGGGTCAATCTGGCGCCGGATGAAATCGAATAAGAATATGTCCAACCTGATATCCCATGGGTGGAGGGAACGAAGTTCCGGGCCAGGAGCAAAAAAGAGCCACTGATGGGAGATTCGGGCACGGGGAGTTGAACCCCGGCTTGCTCCACAGCATCCGCGCAACATGTTGATGACAGGAGCGGTGCGCCGTACACTATGCTCGATGCATTCTTGTTCATGTGAACTTGAGTAAGTACGTGCGTAAATTGCGTCGGGTACTAGTACCCGATGCATTCATTGTTCGTTTGGGGCATGAATTCAATGCCTATTTGTACCGAGGGCGCCGGATAAAATGAAATGAAATGAACATATGTCCAACGTGACATCCTTCCCTCGATGGGATGGGACGGCCTGCCGTTGACGGCACCCGTCAAACTGGTAATAAATACGAGGACGGTGGGCAGCCTTAATTGCCGCTGCGACTGCCGCTGCAGCGGCAGCGCGGTAGTGCAGCGGCTATTTCAGGTACCCCCGTCTCTAGACGTACCTATAGAAGCTCATAGCATATAAGCTTTATTAAATCACCTGTGCAGTAGGCCATTGCATCGCATAGAAAATACGAGTCCGTCCAGGGAGTCCTCGATATACGGCTTGATAAATGAAAGCATATGAAACTAATGGATACCAGCACTGGCACAGCCTAGACCCTAGGCGCTCGATTTCACATGTGCAGCCTTTTGAATATGCTGGAGTATTCTCAAGCCACAGCAGCTTCGGTATTATCAATGCACAATGTAAGATTACGCAGTAGAGGGGTATCCGACAAAGAACAGCATGGCGGTAGCAAAAAACTATATTTGTTTTATTTTAAAGAAACCCACAGAGAACACGGAGGCTTGTTGAACTTCCAGCTTTCGAAATTACTTTAAATCACGGGCAGAAGAAGTTGACCGCTATAGGGGACAGGTGGTTCCTGCCCACCCTTCGCTCCGTCGCCGCTTCGCGTCGACCAGCTCAGATTGGGCGGAACAAAGCATGGCCTTTGGCCATGCCCAGCAATATTTTTTCTGTGGCTCCAGGCCAAATCAAAACGGTGCAGAGCTGTAAACATGGGATCGAAGGATATTGGGATACTTCCTAGCCGTGACACGGAGTAATTCCATTTGAAAACCCAATAGTGCGCTCAATTCTTCGCCCCTGGGCTCATCCCGTGGGTTTATTTGCTCAAAACAAATAGAATTGTGCCTTTGTTCCGTGGATTCTATTTGTCTTGAACAAATAAACCCACGGGATAAGCTCTAGTCTCACTCCAAATGGTATTTCCATCAATAATGCTGGAGAGTCCTTTCGCAAAACCGCATTTTTCGACGTAATTTGGGAGTTCAATGAGAGTTTAGCCTATTTTGTGACCATCTATAAACTTTGGTGTTTTTTTTCTGGTAGGAAATAGACAGCAGGGAACTGATCAATGCAATTTGAATGCCAAAATTGAAAATTTGTGTCTGAAGAAAACATAATGTCACGTTATAATGGCAGGCAATACTCATTAGATTCTCCTTTGTGCAGCGGAATAGGCCTGAGAATACTTTAATACATATACCCGTGGACTTCGATATTACTGGTCCGTTAAAGGTGGAGGCTATCGAGGATGTGATGAAGCAAGTCAAGCTGTCGATGGAAGCGTGGATCGACAAACTCGATGGCGACACAGGCAGATTGATAAAGAAATCCCTCGATTTCCGCCACTACCTACGGCTCAAAAATCCCGATCATCGCCGTGCACTAACCCAGATGGTTCTGTCAAGCCACAGCCTCGCCGTCGAACGCCGTAGAGGGAAGGAGCGAGGCAAAGACATAGTCCCAAGAGAGTGGCCCAAATGCAGGCTCTGCAAGGAGGCCGTTGAAGATCCACCGCATGCACTCTTCATCTGTGATCACCTCCCAGATTTCGAAGGCGCATTCTCAACCGCATGGAGCTTATTCAAAGCAGTTCTGCCGAAGAGAGAGATGACACCGTCTTGTGATGATCTACCCCCTTGTCATGAAACGGGTTTGTTCATGACTAACCCCTATTTCTTTTTCAAATTGCGGGATATATTTTGGGCACACTCCAAAATATATCCAGCACACGGTAACGGTTGTTGGGTGCAATCAA